GGTGACTGGATCTGGTGGAGTGTGTGTGTCCGGGGGTTGTCCGGTGAAGTGTAACATTCCACAGTAGAGAATCAGGCCAGGACCAGGTGAAAGAGTTGTAGAGTCACAAAAAAAGCATAAATTATACACAATAGGTACACAATCTAAATTAAAATCTAGTCAACATGGTGGCACCACTGTGTCTAAGGGGGGAAGGTGGAGGATCACAGAACCCTGGCTTCATAGCTGAGCATCAGTCGAGCATTGAAAACTTGATTGCTTTACTCAGGAGACTGGTGAGAGCATAGCTCCTGCCCAGAGCAACAGGGTGTTATGACAGAGCAGACACATTTAGAGCTCTACTGGCTTGTGTAACAGGCAAGTTTTATAGTGTGGAGCTTTTTGTTCAGAGGTTTTGAGCCAAATTATTTTTTTTCTTTTGACGGTCATTTTGAAATTGCCATGTGTTGTCAAACTTGCCTCTCGTTCCCCGGAGAGAGGAAAGCAGTACACTCAAGATCTCCAAAACATGTACATTGCCAATTCATCTGCTTTAGCTCATATTGATACCAAGTCATTACAGACTGAAACGTTCTTACTTCTTTTACATGCAAGGTTATGGAAGCAGTCATTATGACTGAACTGAAGGATCCTCTGCATTTTAAGGATTTTAAGGGATATTTAAAATAGATTTCAGAAAGGCGCTTAGCCAACTTGTTTGACATCTTTTAACAAGCAACCTACAAGCAATTGCTGTAGGCATTTGTGGCAAATGGATGGGAATTTGTTAACGGACAGGAAACGGGGGTACAGATAAAGAGTAAATCTACAAATTGGGGGCAATGTAATTAGTGTAGGACCTCAGGAATTTGAACTAGGACCACTGCTCTTTCAATTTATATCAGTGATTTAGATTATGCCATAGTTTAAAAACTAGATTTTAGTATCCTAAACAGAGGATACCAAACTGGGTATCTTTACACAAGTGTTTGTTGGGGTATGGAACTAGTTGCCCAGTCCTGTTGTTGAAGCTGATACCTTGTCTTATTTTAAAAAAAACGATTAGATGAGATCCTTGAACATATATATTTCAATAAAATAAATAATGTTGTATTGACCACATGAGAGTTCATAAAAGAAAAGAAAAACAAGCAATATCAATCAGTGTTATTCTTGTTACTCAGTGCTATTCAAGATATATCCCAGACTTCTGGGAAAATTGGCCCTGGTGTGTGAGTGAGTGTGTTTGTGTCCGTGTGTGCCCTGTGATGGACTGGCATCCAGTCCAGGGTGTACCCTGCCTTGCACCAGTTGCTTGCTGGAATCGATTCTTGCTCTTCCAAAGAGCCACATTTCAGAATAAACTTATTTCTCTATAACCTGAACAGTCTTCGCTCAAGAGAAGGCACAGCTTGTTCCACGTTCAGAGGTGAGAAATATATCTTATCATAAATGTTGTCTCCATGATGATGGAAACGATGCATTGTTGCTTAGTAGCAAAAGGGATGACAGAGGGAGTCTGAAGCCTGTTATTTCTCTGAGGCGTATGTGGTGGCCAGGAGACTTCTGGCTGAAAGACTGAAAGTCTGTAAAGCCAATGGATGTGTTTCAGGAGTAAACTCAGCCTATGTGCAAATTAAATTGAAATGGTTGAAAGCTGTGGGGATAAAAAAGTGAAATTCTTTCACGTTTTATGTCAGATGCCAGTTATAATATTCTAAATAGGAACAGTAACAGCAGATTTCCACAGAACACACATGGATATGCAGTATACAGCTGAATCAAATTTACATTGTTGTTATTGTTGTGAGGCAAATCATTTGAAATCAAAGTTAAAAGACCTCCATACTGTACATTAACCAAGATGGCTAATGTTACAATCTGTCTTGCAGAAAATAAGAAGCAAGAGAATAAGGGTTATTTTATGAGCCAGAAAGAAAATAATTGTCAACAAAACACATTTTCATTTTAACCATCTTAATGTTGTCTACTCTGTAACATTCTAATACGATGTCAGATAAGATGCAAAAGAAGTCATGATAGTCATGTTTGTTGGTGCCTGAGAAATCTGGTTCACATTCACTACACATCATCCCACTGACGTTCTGTATTTAAGAAAGAATCAGTGTGAAAAATGGGAATCAGAATAACATGACTAAGAAGTAGAGAAATTCATGTTATTCTGTATTTATATCATAGCTGTTTGGGTCACTGTTTGACTAGAAGCTTCTAGATTCTTTCTGACTTTCAAACAGTAGCTTAATCACTGGCAGCATACAAAGCAGGTACTGTACATTACATTTTGAACACACTCCGTGTTGCTGTTTTTTATTTGCCTTTGAGTGGAATGGAAACAATTAAACGTTTCTTTCAAAGGTAAAAAGTTGACATTCCTTTGCTCTGCGTGTTAATGGAGATTAAACTGAATTCATTCTGCGTGTCAGGCAACAATTCATGTACCTCATACCTTGCATACCTGCGCTATTGTACACTGTGCCCCCAAACTACATCTCAGACGGCCCTGTGAGCGCATTAAGACAGGGAGACATTTTTTAAATAATTATTGCTGTTATTATTGCTGTCTAAAGAAATTATTCAACAGGATCAGGTGTACGTTGCCGTAAACCTGTTCACACTTCTGTCTGGGCAGTTTAAAAAATACCAATAGGTATTCCACCAGTGTAAAAACAACATCAAGAACTCCTGAACCTCAGCTGTTTGTATTATTACTGGAAACTGATCATTTTGTGTTGCTGCTTCAGTCAGTTCCATCAGAGGTGTACAGTGTGAAAAGAAAAGCAAGAAAGAAATCTTTTACTCTCCGGGGCAAGCCAATGAGATAAATACATTTAAATATTTTATATGTCTTAATCATAATGCTCCAAATTTAATAAAAGACCACACAATAGAATGTGAACAAGTCACAAAATATATATTTTTTTAGATTCCTTAAAAGTACTATATTTGGTATGTGTACAATTATCATTGAATGTAATTTTAAAACATTTTGACCTCAACCAGGTATACTTACCCGGACATACTGAAATTAAATTCTTGTTTTTTAGCTTGGGGAAAAACAACGAGCTTAACAGAATTCATTTTGCATGATTTAATCGGATATTTCCATTGATGCATGAGGTCAGTTAGTACATTTGCATTATTGTTATAATTATCAAGATAACAGGAATCTCTTGATAAAGAATAACCTTTAATTGAAGAGTGGTGTTTTTTGTAAGCTTGGTTTAGTATGCAGCATTCTGTCTCGGCGTAGCCAGGGTAATTTTGGAGAACTGAAGATAATTGAACGTCCTAGGCTTTTTCAGAAAACAGCACAAGCAATATCGTTGGCTTATAGGAGCCACAAAGTACTGTAAACGCGAATTAACATTTCATGGAGATAGGATTCATGTTGTTTTATTTTTCTCATTCGTGCAGATCTTAATAATACGTTTTTTAAGGTAAGTGGGTATTTTATTCGGTCTTTACAAACTTGGTAAAACAATTAAAACGAACGTATGAATTCAAGCACTTGCTGCAATTTAAATATCTCATGAGCCTCACTGGAATCGATCTATTAGTTCATCATTTTGGAATATGGGGTACCAGACATTTATAGAATCTGTTACAAAGATCATTGTTTTTCTCCAAAAATGGCCCCCCAAAAGGAAATATTTTATTTAAATATATACAAATTATATTAACGCTGATATCATGTTCAAGAAGACATCGGTTAACATTAATTATATAGTTGTTACTACTGCTCATCATCTTTCTACGGCTGCAGCTAAACGAAAGGCATACGTACTGTATATTTCATCCAAATGTGTTTTTAGAAAGGTGAACGGTGAATTCTTGCAATGCTGCAATAGTCGTTTTACAGATAGATGCTGTTCCTTTAAGAATGTAAGGTGGGTGAGCCCCCTCACTGACGCACGCTTGGTATGCAAACATAAATTTAGCAACAACGTGTTCTCAGACACAAAACTCTTGGAAGCAACTATGAAGTGTCATGTCATGACAGACGTTTTTACATTTGCATTGTGACAGAGGAAGAAACGGATGGTCGCTGAGATTTGCTTGTTCATGTTCAAATAATAGATCTACCCACATTACAGTTTGAATTCGCTTCATCCTCTTTCAGTTATCAGTCTTTTTTAAATAAAAAGTGACATTTGGAAATGGCAACCTTTATCTTCGAGGCACTGGGATTTTTTTGCACGTCTCTTCTGCTCTGCAAGGTAAGACTGAAAGACCTGAATCGGTGTTTTTTGAGCATCTCTGAAAGGTTTGGTTTTGTTGAAAGCGTTCTATGACATGCTTTGTAAATGAAAGGTATTAAAAATAAACAGGTAAAACACAAAAAAGAAATGTTCAGCAGATTAACATTTTGTAAACTCTATACAGATATTTTTGCATTAACTTGTTGCAGATGTTTTTGCAAGTACTGGTGTTTTTTTAGTAAGCGGCTTAACTTTGAAAATCCTGAATAACGATGTACTGTTACTGCAGTCCTTAGTTCGCACTTGTCAGTGTTTAGAACTTAATTCCACATGCTATGTTCTGATAAATGACTTTTGTGCTTATTGCTGTAGATGATTTAGTTGTCTAACCTCAACTATCGACAGCTGCAACCAGGAGACTGATATTTATGTTCAAGAAGTCTGATTAGATGCTGAAGAGGGTACAGAACTATTCTACTGGATGTACAGTATCTGTTACTGTCTTCTAGAGGTTGTATAATATGTTTCAGATTTTTAATATAAAAATCAAGGACTTTGGTGAAAGGGGCAAAGTCAGTGTTTTATTTTTAGACCGATTTAGGTTTCACATATTGAATTGAATTCCATTTTTTTTTTTTGCATTAACTAAGCCAGTTGCTTTTTTACTGTTTATTTAGGCTGGAATGGAAGGCCAACCTGTAGCGTAATTAGATTCTCAAGGTTGTTTCATTTCGGTGCGCCTTACAAGAAATGTTTGAAAGCCTTCCCAAATATGCAGTGATATTACATTTTATTGGGAAGTGCTCAAAAAACAACGCATCGCCGGTGTGAAGCTGGTTGCCATTCATCTGCTGTGTGCAGAATGAGAACTGCTTCGCACAGTGGAACTGACAAGAGTACTTCTTCGTCCACCGCGCGAGTGGACATGGATATCGCTAGTTTTTTTTTTTTGCCGGGTGGAGATTATGAGGCCAGTCTTGTGCGGATATCATTGATGTAAAGCGTTTCCGTGAGTGCGGGCAGGAGCCAGTTACCTCCAACAACTACGTCAGATAGGCAAAGGTGTCTGTGTCCACTGAGCCCGTGGGGAATTGACATGTCGGAACACCTAGCGCTGTCAAGCTCCGCCGTGCAGGTGTGCTGGAAGCTCATGAGCTCAGGTGTAGGAGTGTGGTACAGCGGTCCTTAGAGCTCTGTTAAACCGTGGTTAATGAAGAAAACCAGTTGGATTTATCTGTGCGGTTTTTCCTTATCATTTTAAAGTGATTTTAAAAAACTTTTTTTGGTGGGATTAGATGTTTGACCACCACCATTTACTGTACTGTATATCTCAATTGCCCTGAATTTGTACAGGGTGTTAGAACCCGTTTCCGAGTGCTTTACCCTTTATTTAACACATATGTTTTTCTTACTCATTTGCTCATGTTAGGGACACGAATGTAATCTTGTCGTGTTATACTCATTTCTGGAACTTGAATGGCAGGGTAGTTATTTTACATAGATTTTTGTTGTACATTGGTGTTTAAAGAGGAGTAGCCTTGGCAGTTATTTTTCATGCCCCTACTGAGTCTGTGATTTATTGCTCTAACCAGTGTATCTTGGAGCTCAAGCAGCAAAACTAAAGACAGATGTGCTGAGAGAGGTGTTCACAGGTTGTTGGTCCATTTTGTACCATGATCCCAGAGTGAAGATAGTAGAGGTTAGTCTCACTGACTCAGACATTGTCTGGTGATCTCTCATTGATGTGGCATAGCTTGGGGATGAACTTGTGTTGAGACTCAACAAGAACTCCTTATCTGATAAGTCTTTCAGGTGTTCAGTTAAATTATTTTGCACATCAGTACTTTGTTGAATAAAAGCAGTCTGTTACACTTCCAATTTAATTGATTTGGTCAAAAGTAATTAATGAAAAGACTCAGCCATTGTAATTGTCATTAATAAGTGCAAATGTTCTATTTAGATCATCCACTATATATTTTTTTAATTCAGAGAAAGCTGCACAAGATGTTCATTGTACTTTCAGTAGTTGTTGTAAAAGCGTTTACTCTGTATCTTGAGTATTGACAATGGCTGTGGTATTTAATTTCTTTTCACTGTGCTGAATCCTGACTGTCAAGGAAATTGGTACCATTTTGGATAAATTCCAGTTGTATAAATTGCTTGATATGGAGGTGCTGTGCTTGCTTGTGAGAGAAGATGGCAGTAAGGCCCACACACTGCTATTTCAAACTAGTCAAAGAGGTAGTCAAAAGAAGTAAGGGCTCAGAATTCTCAAGAAAGTTTTTAAATAAAGCTGTTTGTATTGCCCTACTACAAAATAAGGAAACATCAATGATTTTATATAGAGTAAACACTTAAGCTGTAGCTGTTCCAAATAAAATCAGCAATATAGTCTATTATAATAAAATAGACTAATATAGAAATATAGTGTACAATAGTTAGTGCAATGAAGATTGCAAGAGCAGCTCTATATGATAACAGAAGTCATCTACAATGGTATGTCTTGTGTGAGAATTTAGAATGCTGTATTCCAGGCTTCATTTGAGGTACAATATATCAACTGTCCTGATCAGTTTTTGAAAACTGGGAAGCATTTTAACTTTTCAGGTGGACATATTTCTTCCAAACTTTTATGTAAATTGCAGTTCAAGACTTTACATATATTTGAGATATTATTTTGCTCTGTAACTGATACTGAACTAAGATTACTATCCTCTATGCAAGTTGTGTGGCCCAAGCTGCTTTCAGTCATTCACATCCCTGGTCTTATCAACCACAGGCTTTCAAGTTTATATGGGTGTTTAACATCAATATTTTTATCTTCTCAACAGAAATGGTTCTGAATGTCTGCATTTCTTTAATGCATATATTGAGCATTGTTGTAATTGGAAATATTCCTACACAGAGTGAAAAAAAGTGTTGTTTGCTGACTGATCTTTTGAGAGTAGGGCTCAAGGCAAGAGTTTTTTTCTCTGTTTCTCTAGATTTCAGCATACAGCAGTACCATGCATGTCGAGATATTGTGATTCTCTGTGGAGATATTGTGATTCTCTGTATAAATGTGAACTCTCTTCCCATCGTAAAGAGTGCAGCAGAGCCCTGTTGTCTGGTTTTTCCTCAATTCACAGTGACGCTTTCACACTTTCCAGCCCTCATTTGCAGCATCCATTGTGCTACAGCTTCAAATTCAGCCTGTGCTGTAACTGGAGAAGCCCATGAAAGAGACTCACCAACCTGCCACACTATGAAATCATCAAGCAAAATTAGATAAAACATCAGGTTAAGAAATGCCGAGGGTGACCTTTGATTATACATTGAAATTGTTTGGTTTCTTCAGTAGATGATGACTGTTGTTCTTGTAATTCCAGTTTATTTTGTTTAAACATGTGACTTAGTCCCTGTTGTAGAATTTGTAACCTTGGAAATTTAATTCGTTCACTACAAAACTATATACAAATACACATGTGACTTGCATGGTTAGTTAGGGAACATAAGTGTGAGCAGCATTTGTTTTATTATTACTTCGGCAGAGTTATTTATCCTAAGGAACTTTAAAGGAGTACAGTTTATGCAGCAGCATAAAAGCAGTAATATTATACTGTAGATAATATGTTATCATGTATATTATGTTACAATATGGGCACTGATGAGTTCAGTCTTTAACTTGCTTAGATGGTGATATCCACAATGAGCATGTAGACATCTGCATCCAGAAAGCTCCCATAATATTTTTTCTACCATAATTAAAAATAATGTTACAGCCTTCTTTTCGTGTCAGAGAGGGAATATCTAAGCTGGGAGCTCAATAGCTTTTTTCTTCTGAATCTCCATGATCTCTTGTGGAGCTGCTGGTCCTTTAACAGCTTGAGGTCTAAAGAATCACCATTTTGAATATGAAACGCTAAGATGATAAGCGGTGTTGAAAAATAGCTAGAAGATCATCACGCAATCTTTAACCGATTTGTGTCATAACATTATAAAGACATAAGATTGCAAGTTGGTTGTGTGTGAGTTTAAGTTTCTCAGAGCTGGAGTTTAGCTGAGCTGGAAGGTGTACAATTTGGAATCTGAAGGGCCATTGTAAAAGGAGAAGCAGTATGTCAACGTGAAATGTCACAAAAACACTCTCCTTTTTTCAGTGAGGTTTTAATGAGCTTCTTCTCCCACCATTATAGAAAACTCCCATTTCAGAAAATGCTTCAGATTTAGCCCATTTTGAAGTTTTCAGTTTGCCTTAAATGTCCTTTCGGTGTCACAGATTCCTTTCATTCAGTTTCAAGTAAGAAGAGTCAATGGAGGGAAAACATTGCTTTCCTATCCGAGAAAAAAACCTGAAGAGCCCATTGCTAGAAACTTTAATGGCCCACAAGGAATGAATGGAGGTTCTTTTGTCAGCAGTATAATGGCATTTCTAAATGATTCTTTAAAGATCCTGTTTAGCAACAAACAACATGCCCCTCTTTAGTGTGTAATGCAAAGCAAATCCCTTCAAATGAGCTCCGTTTCAGAAAGTGACTGAATAGTAATTTGTGGAACAGAGGCAGTAGACATGCTTGAGTTAAAAAGGATCTCAACATTTTAACAAGTAATGAGCTGAAAGAGGTTAATATGGGGTTAATTAGAGGAGAATACAATATATAACTGGGTTTACAGGGCTCATGTGATGTAGTAGATTTTATCTTATGCCATGAATTTCTTACATCATATTAAAACAGAAAAGCAGCCCTATTCTAAAGTTTGTTTTTGCAAAAGAAGCTATTTCACTAAAATGTTCTGCTGATAAAGCTTCTTTTGCGGACATATTAGCTTAAGGTGAATTCTCAGTGTGGGCAAATATAATGCTGTGTAATTTCCTTCTAATTCTGCAGAGGCGTTTTTTTTTAAAAAGTAGTGTGCATGAGGAAAATCAAGGGTGTGGGGAACACAATTAATTTTTGGCGATTTGTTTGAAAAGATATTGGATTTTGCAGGATCGCAGATCAAGTGCCTCAGTCTGCATCCTCTTCCTATTAGGTACA